GTGCCACGTGCATGCTAGCCAAGCACTTTACCACTAAGCAACAGCCCCAACCTCTCTTTTTTTTTCATGATATTGGGAATTAGAACCCAGAGCCTTGCCCATGCTAGGCAAGTGCTCTACTTCACATCTCTTAATGCTCATTCATTACATGCACATTTGTAGAGTAAGTTGGAGCATACCACAAGGTAAAAGGGGACAGAAAAATGTATAATATATGGTACCTGCCCTTTAAGGAGTTCACAGCCCTGTAAAGACAGATGTGAAGACAAGGAGGTCTACTAAATATAGCTACTGAGATGGCAGTTAAGGAAGTTCAGCAAGCACAAAGTTTAAGTGCTTAGAGGTGTCTGGGACTGACACATAGAGAAGTGGACTCAGAATTTACAATTTGTTATACAAACAAAAATCTTCACTATAGGAAATGTAAATCTAAATACAATGAGCCAGAACATAGGTATTTTTATAAGCAGATTCTTTTGAAGGATCTAGCAGGTAGAAAATAAAAATAAAAGAAAGTAGCCCTGAACTTTCTTCCTGACCATGCACTTGTGCAAGTCCTCTGCCCTTTCTACCCAGATGTTTCCTCATTATTGACAAAATTCTAAAATAGCTTCCACCAGAACTTACAAACCAGTCATTCTAAGATCTATGCCAATTCTTAGCCATGTTTCTAAAAATAGAATAAAAATCACATATGGGGGCTGGGGATGTGGCTCAAGCGGTAGCGCGCTCACCTGGCATGCGTGCAGCCCGGGTTCGATCCTCAGCACCACATACAAACAAAGATGTTGTGTCCACCAAAAACTAAAAAATAAATATTAAAATTCTCTCTCTCCTTTCTCTCTCTCTCCTCTCTCTCTTAAAAAAAAATCACATATGATCCCCAAATTTCTACTTCTTTAATATAGAAACTGTGTGATAACATTAAAGGAATGAGATTTTAAAAAATATTTCATCCTAAAATTCTTTTAAAACAACAGTTTTATCTTCTTCCACTTGAACAATCAAATTCATATTTCTCCCTTTTGTCTCTCCCCCACTTATATCCTGTGAATCAACAGAACTTAAATCCCTCACACCACCAGAAAACCAAAACCAGTCAAGAGTAGGTGAAAGAAAAACAAAAGCCCAAATTACAGGTCTTAGTGAATAAATGATGCAAATATGCATATTTTACTATCTACTCATGTGCAGCTTTAGTAATTTATTCTGATAATTTATGTACTGAACTTTTAAGTTCTGTTAGCTGGCACCCTTATCTGACAGGCAGCAGGCCTAAGCAGATTTCTTTGCAATAAAGGTTAGCTCAGTGTGACATACAGCTTGATGTTATGTGAGACAATTAGGGTCATCCCCATGTAAGGGCAAATTGACCATATTTAGATAAAATTGCTATTTCTCAAATTTTGAAGTTTAAAACTATACACCCTATAATTAGAGTTAAGCATAAGCTAATTATGTTCTATTTAGGTTTTCCTTTCTAAAATATGCCACCTTAAATTTCCACCTTAGCTGTAAAGGTGGAAAGCTAAGAATTGTAAGAAAGCAGATGTCCCAAAAAGGGGTACAGCATCCTGTTCTCTTAGGAAAATACCCAATCATTTCTCAGCTGATCCTAGGATTCTTTCTGTATCCTGGTCCTTTTCACTGGTCTAGATATTTACTGTTCACTTCAGAAAACAATTATTTTCTAACATCTGTTTAAGATTTATTTTCCTTTGATATTTATATTCTGTTTTCCAAATTTTCACCCAGGTCTAAAAAAAGAGCTTCAACAATTAATAGCTCCACATGATGCGAGCTATTTAAGACTTCAGATACTCAGTGTCATCCTTTGTTTTTCACCGCCTTCTTGCATTCATAAGAGAATAGTTAGGATAAGGTTTTTTAAAATGCTGTAGTTCTTTTTGAATCATCATTAAAATAAGACTGGGAAAAGAGAAATTATATAAAGGAAAGTGGAGGCCACACTGGTGGAATTCAGGTCTCCACTGATAAAGCTGATAAATCGGAACCAGCGCTTCCAAGAAAGCCAGCTCTGAGAACAAGGCCAAAACCTGCTCATTATCAACATGAAACTACCAAAGTCTGGAGTTACTTTCTGACTAGATTTTTACTTGGCTGGATTCTTTCTACAGACTGAAGCTAAAATGCTTATTGCTGAAGTAATTTTGACAAAACCTGATTCAGGCTGAGAATTATTTTGGTCTTTCATTTCCTCAACTTGAAATAGTTTAAATCTAGAATCACCAAAGTAGAAAACCTTGTAGTGGAGTAATGGAGTCTCTGGGATCTTTAGTTCTCTTCCTAGGTCCTTTCTTCATGCTTGCATTGTAAATGTCTCTTGCAAAAATTTACAAAAAAAATTTTAGTTTCACAAAATATAAAAAATAATATACAATCAGGTAAGAAATAGAGTGATTTATTCTCATACTTTCTGAGAGGGAATACAAATTTATATAACCTTTCTGAAGAGCAATTGGGCAATGTTTATCAAAATCTTAAAAACCATATATTCCACTTCCAGAAATTTATTCATGGAAAGTAAACTCTTTTCATAGTTCTCTCCATTATCTCTGTACATAAAAGGTTGATGGGTCATTTCACAGTTCTTGTTTGTTTTTAAATTTTTACAGTAGACTATATTAAAATATACTCCTTTTACAATAAAAAAATCAATAAATATAAAACACATCCTATTCAAAACAACTTTCATTCAAAAGTGGTTAGTATTAAGTGTGGAGACCATCTTTGGCATTTTTTTTTTTTTTTTTAGTTATTTTGAAAAACATTAATGGTAAGTTTTTAACAACCTAGGGACTGGGGATTTAATAAACAAAAAAACTCATGCCCACTTTTGTGACTATTACTTTCACAGGATAACTTAAACAGATTCAAACAACACTAAGTGGCCCATGGACCATTCCTTCATGCTTCCACAGACTTTCATGGGCTCTCTAAGTCAATATTAATATGGTAGCTATACTTCTTCCTTCTAAGACCATCTGGAATTTATTATCTGATGAGATACTCTCCTCCATTTTACAGCAGGAGAAATTATCTAATGTGTCCTTGATCACATGGTGGTAGCCTGGGGATCAGAAAGCAGGTTTCAATAGTGTTGTTTTATTTTTATTTTTTATTTTGCCAAACCACATGTCTTTTCTGAATCTACTTAAAGTACTGTTTCAAGATGTTTTCTGAGGGGCCCATAGGGGCTACATTTAAAACCTCTGGTCATTGTTTGCTAACTGCTGGGATGGTTTCAATCAGGAAGAAGCCAATATTTTCAGTTTGAGTGCTGGAAAAGCTCTTAAAATGTCTCTAAACGATTTAAGAGAAGCGCCTTAACAGAAAAGGACTTATGCTTGTCCTAGAATAAACTCATTAGAACTGACATATGCTGCAACCACAGACCAAGAGAACCACATTTTTTGAACACATTATATCCCAAAATCAAATGAGATTTCCAAATATCATCAGTATTAAATGACAAAGCTGTTCAAAAAGGGCTACAGCCTCAATATGCTGGTTGACATCCTCCTTCACCTGGAATATTCTTTATGTTTGATAACATATTATGGTTTAGATATTAAATGTCCCCTAAATTCATGTGTTGAAGGCTTGATCACCAGCCCTTGGTGCTATAGGGAGGCAGTGGAACCTTTAGGAGGTGGACCTAGTAAAAGGAAGTTAAATTATGGAGTACGCACCCCTGTTCTATCCGGCTTTTCTCTTTGCTTCCTGGCCATAATGAGATGAGCAGCTTTGCTCCAACATGTGCTTCTCACCTTGAATATTCTGCCTCACCACAGGGCCAAAAATAATGGTGCCAAGCAACCATGGACCTTTGAAATCATGAGCCAAAATAAGTCTTTCCTCTTTTTTTTTGGTGGTGCTGGGGATTGAACTTGTGCTGGCCTTGTGCATGTGAGGCAAGCACTCTACCAACTGAGCTATAACCCCAGCCCCTTCTGTCCTCCTTTTGATTATCTCAGGTATTTCTGTCTCAGTGATGGAAAGTTGACTAACTCCCTTTTCTACTAGGACCTACTTTTTATTATACTAGTTTTTCTTGAAGACATGTTCTGGAGGAGGCTTTGTTTGATAAGTCAGGTAAATTTTTCTGAGGTAAAAGACTTCTAAGTAGACATTTTCCCGTCCTCACAATCCCAACTTGAGTCAAGAGAAGGAAGGGAGTCCCTTTGTTTGGAGGCCAATTTGGTTTTATGCTCCAGAAAGGTCCAAGTCTCAGTAGCTGAGATCAAACAAAATCCCCCCAAACTTAGGTGGAACTAATTCAATTATCTGCATCAGTTTGAGGAGAATCTTACTAAGGTCAGGTAAATCTCTTCTGGTTCAGGTAGCTTTCTCTAAGCCGTAGCTTAGGACACATGATACTTTTTAAAAAATGTTTATTTATTTTTTTGTTTTAGGTGGACACAGTATCTTTATTTTATTTTTATGTGGTACTGAGGATTGAACCCAGTGCCTCATGCATGCCAGGCGAGCACTCTACCACTGAGCCCCAGCTCCAGCCCCAACATGATACTTTGATGAACACTATATTTGCATGACTAAAATGTTTTCTTCCCCCTTTACTAATTCTTGCATGATTTAACATATATAAACTCCTAAAATTTTTCTCAGGAATAACCAAAGGAAGGATTACCAAAGATGACCCCACATAGCCCAATCCTGATTCCAAGTCTCTGAGGGTAAGGCCCTAAAAGCCTGTTTTTTCTTTTTGTTTTTATTTGCTTTTGTGTGGTGGTAGTGGTACTGAGGATAGAACCCAAGGCTTTACAAGATAAATAAGTGTTCTACCACTGAGCTACATCCCCAGTACCCCCATCTTTAAAATAGTTTAATCTATGCTTTCAAAAAATACACCTTGTAGTTCTTCTGCATGCTGAAGTATGAGAACCCTTACACCAGAACAACTATAAGAGTGAATGAAAGGGAGTGAAAGAAATCCTGGCAAGCAAAAGCAGGCAAGATTTGACTTTTAAGGATTTAATATCAATAGGGGAACAAGATTTTAAAAAGGTCAATAGGGAAGGATTGTGAATATTGTTTCAATAACTCCAAGTCTTTCCTACATCAACTTCAGTTAGGCTGGTTGCATCAGTGTGCTGATAGTTTCTTCTACCTCTGAGAGCTTCTTCAAGATTTGGTTGACTTTGATCTCATCAAACTCCAAACACAGAAATTCAGATTCCTGTAAAATATAAAAGGATGTTTTAGAAGAGATCCCTAAGATAGCTAAAGTTTTTCATCTGGCAAGCTCCAGAGTCCCAATGCAGCAAGTCCAGCTCAGGTCTTCATACCTAAGTGATATATTACCCCATAAAGCAAATCCATACTACACTCTAAATGAAATTGCTTGTATGATGGTGTTTCATAAAATGTAAAGAGATACACAGATCTCAGGTACTCTCATTATGAGGAATATAAAAATTTCTTCCCATTTGTCATCTAATGTCATCCTATAATAATTTTAAGTAATTACTCAAATATTGCTATTTTATAGATAAGAACTCTAGGGTACAGAAAAGTTAACCTATATCCAAAAAATTAGAAAATGGCAGATTGGGATTATGAACTCCCAGTGTTGAGTGACTCCAAAATCCATGCTATCTCCACAGCACCCTGTAGACTAACAATGAAAGGAGGATTTTGATTTGCAAGTTAGTCTGGGTTAACTCAGATTTAGTGGTTAAGCCAGAAATTGTTACAAATTCCTTGGGAAACATTAGTCAGAAAATTAAAATACCCAAATATTGAAACAGCAACAAATATTTCTGGGGTCTTTCCACCTACTACAAGATTTCTCTCCTAAGATTCCCCAAATAAATTCCCTTCAATCAATGTTAGGATTACTAAATAAATCATATATATATATATTTGTGTGTGTATATATATATATATATTTGTGTGTGTGTGTGTGTATATATATATATATATATATATATATATATATATATATATATATATTTGTCTGATATACATGGCAGAATTTTCATGTATATCGGACAAATCCTAGGTCTGCAATGTTTTGAGAGAAAGGGGAAATTACATGTATCCAAGAATGACAATATTCAAGATCCTTAAGAAAAATAATCCACTAATTTTACAGTAGTAAGAATCCAACGAGATCATATAACCCAATTGCTTTGTTTTCTAGTTAATGAAATTAACATACTGAGCAAATTAAATAACATGCCGAATCGCTCTGTTTGTTATTGCAGAGTCACCAGTTAATGCTTTCTTTTCTACATTTTCTTCTTTATATATTAAAGGAGATCAGAATATGTCATCCCAAAATATGTCACTTTGGAATATGGATTATTTTGTGAACCAAGAATCAACAAGTGGAGAAAGTCTTCTTAAAGTTTCCTTTATCTGAATAAAAAAGCAGAAACTTCTGAGAAATGAAGACTGCCTTATATAAATCCCTCCTTTGGTGGAGTTTTATGGAAATAAAGAAGATGGAAAGTTGGCACCAAGATGAGTCTGCATAAAATAGGCTCACTAGCTGGACCTGAGGGTAATCCCAGCTACTCAGGAGGCCATGGCATAAGAAATAAAGTTCAAGGCTAGCCTGGGTAACCATCAGAGACTCTGACTAATAAAAGAAGAGAGGAAAAGAACTGGGATTATAGCTCAGTGGTAGAGAACTTGATAGTGTGTGCAAGGCCCTGGGTTCAATTTCTACTACAAACAACAACAGAACAAGCTTTACTAAAAACCCTAATCTACCATTAGTTCCCCCATATAGTTATCTTCCCATAATTTACCACCCCTAGTCACTTCATAATTTATCACCCTTTTATTAAGATGGTATATAAGATTTCAAGTCTAACTGCCTCTTTGGATTTTTAAATATATATTTTTTTTCCTGTATAGCCCTTGTGGACCTAATATTGAAAATATCAACATCAGTAAAAATTGTAACTTTTTCTCCTGTTGATATTTTCTCAGTTTAATTTATAGGTTTCATGCAAAAAACCAGGAAGGTGGAGGAAAAGTTTCCGTCCTACAATACCACAGCACTTCCCACTCCTATCCCCAAAGGGGCAGGTAAAAGATAACCAACAAATCTCTTCACAGCCTAAATCCTTAATGTTTTAGATCAAACTCATTTCCTACCAGGATCTGAAAGTATAATTATTATTAGTCTATAGAATAGCTGAAGGTGGCTATTAAGCAAATGTTTGGTTCTTTCCATCTATATACTAAATAACCTCTTTGTGTATAACTTCCATTTAAATGATCTTATCTAGGCCCTATAAGCTATACCTCAGTGAGTCTTCTGCAAAACAATAAAATTATAAAATAAAAAGATAAAATAATAAAATTAGAAAATAAAAAGACATGCCATTAAATACTTAAGTGGAACCATTTAGAACAAATTCAACTGAACAAAAATTCTATAATTTTCTATGCTATTACTATTTCTCACTTAAAATTTCACAAAGCTGTTATGAATTTATTGATCTCATTTATCAATATAATACAAATTTGGCAAGTTCTAATGTATTGTGTTTTCTTTTAAAAATGATAAAATTGGTGAAGTAGGCCGCCAATTCCATTTCAAAGCATCTCTGTGCTTGCCAAGTAGATAAAATGAGCAAAGTTAACCCTCCCAAACTAAAATATATATATATATATATATATATATATATATATATATATATATATATATATATATATATATAGAGAGAGAGAGAGAGAGAGAGAGAGAGAGAGAGAAGTTATTGAAATTAAATGGTGGCAGACATGTCCAGGGAATATTGCAGGGATTTGACCCCATTATGAATCTTGTGATAGATAAATGTGAAGATGGCAACTAGTGGGCAACTGAACAATATTGGAATGATGGTAATATGAGGAAATAGTATCATGTTAGAATCCTTGGAATGGGTATAAATAATGGCTGTTCAGCAGAGAAATACATGTCCTCTCTTCAAAGAGCCTATTTAACTATGATATAAAAATCAGGTCATATACATTTTCATATTAAACTTTTTGTTAAATAAACTTTTAATAGTTAGAAAAAAAGAGATAAAGTTGGGGGAAAGAAGGTGTCAGTAGGAAACAGTACCTTAGAAAACAAGTACTAATTAAAGAGATTCATGTGAAAAAGCTGGCTAGATTTTATAAGACTCATTTGCAAAATTTTTCTTTTGGTTTCATCTGTTGTTATAGAGACTACTTACTGAACATAAACTCTGGCCATAAAGCCTGTTGTCTGGCCTGTCTTTTCATAAATTTAAATAACTCTCCGACTTACAGGTATGCAACCTATATATTCTGTGTTTAACAACTAAGAGACAAAGAACATGGAGGTAGAGGTTAAAATTGGCACTGGCTTCTTGAGATACAATTTTATAATAAATAAGATATCCAGTAGTTCTGAAATTGCCCATCAGAGAAATTCAGAACATCTTGATAAGTAAACTTGTATTCTCCACTCATTTCACAGTTACTGGGGTTTTCTCAGAATTATCATTGATACTGCTCCTTAACTCCTTCATGATACCTTGAATCCCCAAAATAGCTCCTCTGCAGCAAAGATATCCAAGTTCCTAAGTAACCATTTATTGAAAATTAAAATGTTATAGTTCCCTGAAAACTGTGCTGATTATTCTCCATTTGTCCTATCATATCCATTCTCTACCATTCTGTGCCTTGTTTCATGTCCTGTGAAGCTGTTTTCCGAAGGCACTGTCACTCTTTTGTTCTCTAGCCGACAGCTGGGTTTAGGCAAGAAGAGAGAGAGGTCATAAACTTTTATTCCCTAACCCCCAACTCCTCTTCCTCTGCCATTTTCAACATTGTCTATGAGGGATATTATTCTTCTTTTCCTACTTTACTTACTGACCTCAATTACTCCATCTGATTCACATAGAGCGGAGTCTCTTCAAGTGCAGAATAATGGAATACAAAACCCAAAGAGGAGGAGAACAAGGATTTTTAACATGCCTAAATTGATAAGCCTTTTCAAGTGATTCCCCTTTCATGGGCAATATGTACAAGACCCCCCAGTGGATGCATAAAATCACAGATGGTAGTAAAACCTAAATACACCATGCTTTTTTCCTATACATATGCAAGCTAACTTACTGCCTTTTACATCTTAATGAAGCACTTATGTTACACTGTGGCTGTAATTTTTCCAGTATGAGGTGTGACAATAAAACTAGCATGAATTTCTTTTTCTTTCTTCATTATTTCATAGATAGAAAATTTTATTCTCACCGTGGACTTCCATAACCTCAGCATATAATTTTTCTTATTGATAACTTCTCATTTGTTATTTTATTATTATTTTTAACTGACACATAAACAAATAATATATATTTACGGGGTAATGTGATATTTTGTTACATGTATATATTGTGTGGTGTTTAAACTGGATTATACATATCTATTTCCTCAAACATTTATAATTTCTTTATGGTAAAAACATTGAAAATCCTTTCTTATGGCCTTCTGAAACATAAAAAATATCATCTCTAGTCATTCAACTGTGCAATAATATACCAGAATGTCTTATGCCTATCTAAGTATAATTTAGTACCTATTGATCAAACTCTCCATCTTTCCTTCTCCAATATTCTCTGCGGTCTCTGGTAACTACCACTCTATTCTCAACTTCTGTGAGATCAACTTTTTTTTTTTTTTTTTTTTGGTGCTGATGATTGAACCCAGAACCTTACACATATTAAGCACACATTATCACTGAACTATAATAAACATTTTATTTTTATTTTTTAGTTTAAGGTGAACACAATATCTCCATTTTATTTTTATGTGGTGCTGAGAATTGAACCCAGTGCCTCACGCATGCTAGGCAAGCGCGCTACCACTTGAGCCACATCCCCAGCCTGAAATAAACATTCTTAAAATATTTTTGTAGTTGTAGATGGACAACACACCTTTATAATATTTATTTATTTTTTTACATGTGCTACGCAAATGCTCTGCCACTGAGCCACAACACCAGCCCTGAGATAAACATTTTAATATTCAATATGAGTGAGATCATATAGCACCTGTTTGTGCCTGACTTATTTCATTTAACATAATATCCTCCTGTTCCATACATGTTGTTGCATATGACAGGATTTCATTCTTTGCTATAGCTGCATAGTATTCCATTTCGCATGTATATATATACATATATACATACCACTTTTTAAAAATCCATTCATC